GCCTCCAATAAGTGGGGATGACCACAAGGTGCCTAAAGATAAGATTGAGCGAACATTGCAGAAATATCAAAAATGGATACCTAAATCATACAGTATCCAAACATTTTATTATGCATAACAGAGATCCGCGCCTATTAAAATGTATTGGTATAACCAAATGCTCTACCTCCTGGCGTGGAGGTGACATAAAAAAGATGCTTGGAAAAACAGAGATGGAATGGGTGTATAAACTTCAGACTCTTATACCCCATGGTCTTAATGCAGACTTTGATTTACATAACTTTTTATAATCTTTTATAATTTTTTAAAAACATGTTGCTGCCTGTACCTTTAAATAATTATGCTTTTATTGTTACTGATGAATAATGTAATTTTTTATCATTGTTTTACTTTTTTATGTTTCTAAGCTCATGTAATTACAATTGTAAACTGTCTTTTCCCTGCAAGTACATTTATCTGCTGTATTTGTTCCTGTTATTGTGGGTTAAACTACATTTCCCTACATGCATTACGGCTATATCTTCCGATTTGCGGAAGTGCCGAAAAACCATGTGACCAAGTCTGATTAGCTTTAAACCTATTGCTCCCCTTCGTTTTTAATTTCTAATTCTAATCAACACTTTGTGAAGGCTATAATTATGCAATCATCTGCTTATTTTACTGTTACATGTGGCCGCTTTTTGCGGCCATTTTGACTACATTTCCCATGTGGCATTGTGTTTTACTTCCGAAAAACGGAAGTGCTGTTTGGACATGTGACTTTTTATTAATGTTTAAAAACACAATTTAACACCTTCGTTTTTGATCCAAACATTTTAATATCATGTTATAGTATTATTATTTATACACTTATTGAGTTATTTATGCAATTTAATGTTTTAATTTTGTTTTTAATTCTGATTGGTTGTACCATTTTTGGCGCCAAATTCAAATTAGTTTTATCTTTATAAAACATCTATTAGCCAGGTATCATATGTAAATCCATTTGAAAAAGTCTTTTTTTTTTGACGAAACGCGTTATGGATATTTAATATTTGTGTTCTTTTATCATATTAAAGTATTTTTGGTCATTTATTTGTGCCAATCAACTTTTTTAAAGACACATAACTTTTCCTTTTACCCTGGCTTTTTAGTATTATTTTTTATTGGTTTTATAAAAATCATTGGACAATATCCCTGGAAGTTTCCTGTACTTAAAGAAATCCTTAGGTGGGGATCAATCCACCCAAGCTATCATCATAGAGCAGTTGGCCTGCTCTTACCTTGTAAGTACATTCTTTTATTATTTTATCAACAATACTATACAGTGAGCACTATTAGTTGTCTCTTTTATTCCGAGAATTGGACACCAACGACGGAGAGGAACCCATTTATATCCCATAAGCGGGGATTTAAACCGCTGTAGGCGCCTTACTCCAGAGCTGGATATTAGCTCTGGTAAATGTGAGTTTTACACTATTATTCTTTTATATTCACATTTGAATTTTACATACTGCACCATTGGTTGTCCCTCTCTCTTTTTATCTTTCATACCAAGTGGATCCACCATATCAGTAGAAGACCTTACCACCAAAGACTATCTGTAAGGATAAATATTGGGATTTTCTCCCTTTTTTGAACTTTCCATTGGACTATTTTACATATATTTTTTATTATTTATTGTGGCGCAGCCTTTTACTGTTTTTTATTCACCTTATTTCAAAGGGTTTGAGGGATCCCCTTTTAAGGTTGCTGCCTATAAGTTAACCAAGCGCTGTCTCATTCTTTTATTTTTTTACTCCCTACATGGTCCTGAAAGCTGGGGACTAGACAAACAACTCGTCAAATGGCATCACTGGAGACATCCTCTTATGGTCCTGTACATCCTGTCCTTATTTAAAGATTAATATGTATGGAGCCTGCATGCAGAAATTAGATAAATTCATTATCACTTACGATATATATATCCCATAGTTAATACTCTTCTTTGTCTTTTGTCTTCATTAAAGTAGGTGCATATGTATGAAAAATAATTTACAGTGGAGGTGTTTGGTAAATCTATAAGGCAATAGATTGACAAATAGTAGGTGTTTTACTTTTTTCCAAATCAAAACTAAAAGGATTTTGCAGAATAAAATTTTCAACGTGCAGCACTTTGGGAAAGAGAGAGAAACCACCTGGAAAAGACCTTACTTCACTGATCAAATATATACTTGATACCTTTGTTTTTGTTTTTTGTTTTTACTGTATGTTACATAGTTACATAGTTACATAGCTGAAAAGAGACTTGCATCCATCAAGTTCAGCCTTCTTTACATATGTTTTTGCTGTTGATCCAAAAGAAGGCAAAAAAAAAAAACTAGTCTGAAGCGCTTCCAATTTTGCATCAAACTAGGAAAAAATTCCTTCTTGACCCCAAAATAGCAGTCAGATGTCTCTTTGGATCAAGCAGCTATTACCCCACTAATTAGAAATTATATCCCTGTATGTTATGTTTTTGCAAGTATTTATCCAATGTATTGGGGCTGATGTGTACTATGGTCGTTGTTGTCGCCCAGGAGTGATGAGAGTTTGAGCGCAGGACTTGTTTTTTTGTATTCGTATTCACTTTTTGTATCACACAGTTTTGTTACAATGCTGCCGCCCATCCCATGTGTTCCCTATTAAGGGTTAATAAGCATGTAGGGGTGTATATAGAAAAAATACCCCTTTTTGTCTCATTAGAGATATCTTTGCCAGAAACTTAAGGAAGCACGGTGACAGGTCAGTGTAGGAACCACCTACAGGGTTTTCCTTGACGTTGGCAGGCGGGCATTCCCTCCAATGGCCATTGGAGTTACTAAATAACCTCCATTTGTTTAAATATACATAGGGATTAAGGAGAGAGCGCAGGTAACTTTTTTCCTTTGGTATTTACTGTTTGTATTGGGGCTGATGTGTACTATGGTCGTTGCTGCCGCCCAGGAGTGATGAGAGTTTGAGCGCAGGACTTGTTTTTTTGTAAATATATACTTGATGTGTACATTATGTAAAAGAGTGTCTTTCTCATAGTGATTTGCTCCATGATTATAATGACTTGAGTGTCATAGAAAAGCAGGGCCGGACTGGGAATTAAAAGCAGCCCTGGAAAAAAAATATTTACCAGCCCCATAATGCGTCGCGCCAGCAGAGTGTGCAGATACAGACTGTACTGTAAAACACTGCCTTTTCTCTAAAAAATGCAGTGTGTACAGCATAAAGCCTGCAGGGACTGACTCTCCAAAACAACGACATTAAGCTGTAGTTGTTCTGGTGACTATAGTGTCCCTTTAAAAAAGGGGCAAACCCACCTAAGCTGACTAATGAGCAAATAGAGTTTCTAAAAGGGACACTTTAGTCATCAGAACAACTACAGGCTAATGTAGTTGTTATATTTTGTATATCATGCCCCTGCAGGATTTTTAATGTAAACACTGCCTTTTTAGAAAAAAAAAAGAAAAAAAAGAGATAAAACCAATAAAAACAGGAAAGACAGGAATAGCTCCAAGCCCCTGATAGTTTCTTCATCGATTACTACAAAGTCTTAAAAGGACAAATCACTAATACTGTCATATCTCTTTTCAATGCTATCTATATAAAGTATCAATACAACCCCTCACTCCAACTAAAACACTACTAATATTGAAACCCGACAAGACACAGCCCTTACAGTCTCCTACAGACCTATCACATTATTACATAATGATTTCAAATTGCTAAATAAAATATTAGCCAAAAGCCTCTGACAATTGCTCCCCTCTGTCCCCCTAAAAATCATGATTTACTAGAGACAGACCATCAATTCAAGGAATTTGAACAGCAATCGCTACTGTCTCAATATTTGACAACCCTAATAAAAAAAAACTCCTCCCACGTATTGTGGTTAACACTAATTGGAGGTTAGCCAATCAGACACACCCTGTGTGTATATAAGCTAACCTTTCTTTTGCCTCAGTGCCCTGTTGTGGTGTTTGGTTTACCATTGAGCGTTACACTGTATTTGGATTTTCTGGTTACCGATCTCTAGCTTGTCTTACGATTAATCTGTTCTCTCTATTCCTGACCTCAGCTTGTCTCTACGTTACTCCATCTCTGTGTATTCCCTTGACCTTGGCTTACTTTGACTATCCTTTTTGCATAGCCCGACCATTCTAAGGACCGGTATTGCAAATCTCTTTGTTGTGTCCTGTCTGCATGTTTGATTTCCCTATTGAAAGTTACACAATTACAAACATTAGATATTTAGGAGTTCTCATTCCTCAAAAAAGTGTCCACTATATACAGCATCAAAATAAAGCCACTTTTGGTTTTGGTAATAGATCTTTTAACCAGGTGGGAACACCTCCCCCTATCTTTCTCATGACGAACCACTCTGTTAAAACCAGTTATGGTGCTCAAACCTTTCTACCCTTTACAGGCTCTACCCATACTACTCTCACAATCTGAAATTAGCTCTTCTCAAAATTTCTTTGGCAACAAAAACATCCTAGAATTGCACTGCATTAATATTTATAATTTAGTGCATGTCTGTAGTGTGCTGCCAAAGTATAGACTGGATAAAATGTTAAATGTTCAGGACAATTCACAGTAGTACGCATAGAGGCAAAGATAAGTTCAGGAGCAGCTCTCACCCAATTGCTACACACCCCATATGCCTCTGTTCCAGAAGAGACACAGTATAATGCTCTATTAGCATCCACCATTGCCATCCAATTGGAAACCTACTAGGACTCTAATGGCAATACACAGATTTATGCCCTTTTTATATAAGCCCCGCTTTCAACATAGGAAAGCCCAATATCCATATATCTTTTGGGCAACTGCAAGTCAAACCAACATACACATTTTTTTGGATAAGTTTTAATTGACAATTATAGGTTTGAGCAAACTTTTTTTCGTTCTTTGTGCTTAAACATCTCCGATCAGCCTCCTACCAGGAAATTCATTTAAAGATTGCATACCACGTGTACTCCTCCCCTTAAAAAAAAATTCTGCTAAAACAAAGAGATTCAGTAAATTGTTTATGAATAGAGCAGAACTTGCTCTTAGGGTTGTGTGGAAATTGAAACATTCTTGAAACAAATTTTATCTTACTTTGTTTTACTTTAAATATACAGAAAATGTCCACTGATAAGCCTTCATGGAAAACGCATAATACGCTTCATTGCTTCATAACAAAATAATAATAATATCACTGTACAATGTTTGGGGATATCAAACCAGTCATGTTATATAGCTTGGGTTTTCAAAAAAAATGCTGGAGGTCAAATCAAAATGTTTAAGACACTACAGATCACATATTGAAATACACAATTACATAACATTTTGTATGTTATATTATGTATAGTATTTATTTATAATAGTAGTTATTTATGAAACAACATCATAACCAGATTTATATCAGTGCTGTAATTTGTAAGGTTGATGGCATTCACATGTACTTTCCATCCCATTTTTTCTTGTGTAATTAAGAGGAGTTTGAAAAGTGTTGTTGAGTTTTCCTACATATTCCAACGTATAATCTTCAAATACTTGTTCTTCTGTTTTAATATAAAACCGTTCATCAAATTTTCTAATTTCTGAAAGAAAGTCTACTTTCTGTTCCTCTTTTTGTTCCACCGTGCCATAGACTTTAACAGACGATAACAATGCTTGAGGTCCGCATGTGTCCATGTTCTTTGATAATAGGTGGAACACACTACCCTCCAACTCCGATATGAGTGGACAAATATGTTCCTTGGTCTCATCATCATTATTCAGAAGAGTTTCTTCTAGGTGGTCAAAGTTTGAGTGCCTGTCCATTTGATGGACGTAGGCCTGCTTCCCAAAAACTGTGCTTTCGACTAATATAGGTTTTGTATAAACTGTCCTGTCCTCAATAATCCCATAATCATCTGATGAGTTGGTCTTGCCATTTATCTTTACAGGCTGTTCTTGTTGACAAATATATGAGGTTGGTTTATGAAGCAGGGCATCTGTTTGTCCACTTGTGGATGGGTTTTCAAACTGAGCACTGTAAACAGCTGGCCCTGTGTTGGTTGGCATGTCCTTAAGTTTGTCAAACCATTGTTCCTTAAATTGGACAGATGCTGCTGGAATTGCATATAAACTATTCACCTTCTCCTTTGTTAAATGTATTGCTTGAAAGAACAAAGGTTTTCCAAAGTCCTGGGAAATACAAATTATTGTTTACTTTTGGGGTTATATTACATTTGATTCTTGATAATTAATTATTAGAACCACAAAAAACTTCTGAACAGTAATATGATTAAATTATTTTGAAGTGAAACTATTCTATAGTTTTACTATTGCTCTTTTAAAAGAGTTTGAAATTTCATCCACACATTGTGCTAGCAAATGTATAGATTGGGAAAAAAACTATTTAAAAATAAGGTTTTCTCCCATTTGTCTCTCAATTCCTCAGCAGACACTCAATGCCGAGGAACTGAGAGACAGGGACCATCCATATGAGGTCCCTCTGCTCTCCACCCATAGCAACCACAGCACATGCACTATGGTTGCTAGTGTAACTCTTACCTCTTTAATGTGATCACGAAGGGGGAGTGGAGATTATGTTAAGTAGTAAAAGTTTAACTTGAAAGGGTTAATCCCATCCAACCACAAACAGTGTTCTCACAATGACACTGTTTGTGGATGGATTAGCCCTTACTGACAAGTTATGCCGATCCCTGTAAAAAGTGGGGGGAAAAACAACAAAAAACCTTTACCTATACATGCTTAACTAATAACACTGCTTGAGTTGGAATTACACCTCTGGTAGCAATGTGCTAGGAAATAAACTGACACTCTGCACATACAGACTTCAAGGACTGTGACCACTTCAAAATACCAAAGTGGTCATGGCACTTGGAGTAACCTTTTGAAGTTGAGCAAACCAGTTTGTACATGTTTATACAAATTTGGCATTTTCGTACAACCATGTATTTGTTTTCTAGAAAGGATAGTTTATTTTTTATAATTGCATTTAAGCCACTAGAAAAACACCATCCAATTTTTCTTAGATTTAACTTATGTGAGCTTCTCATAATTACAGTTAAACATTTTTTACATGCACATGCATTTTTTCAATTTTATTCTGAATTTATGGGTGCGTCAAAAACATTCTTTGACATAAAAATCACTGGAATTTGGATTAGTTGAAAGATTCTTCAGAAATAAAAGCACTTTTGAATTTCAGTTAATCAAAAACATGTTATATGAGAAATGTGTTTTCATTCTTGATTATATTTGACGTATTGATTATATTTGATGTTCCATCAGCCAACAACTGGCATAGCGTAAATAAAAACAGAGTGAATTCCCCCTGGCTCTTTTTTAACCTGTGAGGCTGTTGGGACATATCCCTCTACCTTGGTCCCATTTGAAGTAGGATGAAGGTTTAATAATGTGAGTGGACGAGTCTGATTTATCACCTGCTTTTCTCTTAAATTTTAGTTAAATGCGATAAAGGTTCTAAGCTCCCTGTAAACCAGTCCCTGTAATTTCAACACCCACTTATAGTGTGGTATTGAATAAATAAATAGTTGGAGTAAATGAATATTCTTTTAATTACATTTTTTTAGTTTTGTCTCTTTATTTTTTTAATAGAATTGTGTTTCTATTGGCAGTAAATGAGAATATATGCACACTCAAGTTATTTTGAATAGTTATAATTATGACATACTAGTTTGTATAGTTTAATAAACCAAGTAACATACGTCATTTTTCTCTCTAATATTTATTTCAAGGACAAAGTATTCTACTCTTTGGAATGAAGCATTCCATGTTAACATTTTGAATGGCTGTCGAGATTAGAGCTGTAAAAGGTTTGATCAACGTCAGGTTTCTTTTAAGTAACACTCCAGCTTCACGTTAGAGACGGTATTAGTACAATAATTCGGAATGCAACTAAACCAGTATGTCTGGTAGTGGTATTGATGTATTGTGTAATTCAAACCTGACCTGCAATGGAATGCAAACCAGGAAATGTATCTAGAATCAAAATTTCTGTATATATCATTATCAGGGACAGATCTGTGAGATTGTATTGATAACCATGATTATAGCAATAGATTTGGAGAAATTAAGAAACAATAACAGTGCAAATTACACATGATCCAGTGTATTTGTTCTGTACCTCTTCCAGGTGCAGGCGGTGTATGTTTCTCTTGTGTGCCCCAGTGTTCAGAGTGTTGATATGATAAGCAGTGGCAATGCTTTTAACGGCCAAAGCTCACAGGAGCCACACTGATGGTCTGCTCCTGGGCAGAAGTGCTTTCTGCTCTCCCATGTAAACCTGTAACTTAGTATCAACGGTTACACTCGTGATACTTGACAATTCCCCAAGAACCTTCATCACATACTAACATGTATCATGAAAACATGGGATTTCCCTGAGCCCGTGCTTTGAAGGGGCTAAATCATTATTCATCTGGTACAAGCCTCACTAGCCTCCATGGCATTACCAGTTGCAGACACCAAGATATTTCCTTGATACTCACAAACCTTTTCCGTATCTCATGTCATTGACACTTACCAAAGCACTTGGTGTTGGACCCTGTTGTTTCACATATCTATAAGTTAGACATAGTAATACTCCAAAGAACAGACCAGCAGAAACTGCAAGTAAGATCACAACTAGTCCAACCATTGAGGGATCTATAGCAATAAATAGAAAACAAAATGATTAAACTACATTTCTTAGCCTAACACTGCACCCCGTGGCTGGTATGAGTAGGTATGGTTAATGTGGAGTTACAATTCACCAAAGTCTTGCACCCAGCAGGAGGTGGAGCCACAAGTATCTTGGAACATAGTGATACCTTTTATCTCGGCATGCATGTTGTATTAAAAAATCTGCAATCTCTGACAGCATTATTTGATAAAGTGTGAGTTCAAAGGGAACTCTAAATTGTATCCAAAAATATTCAAACTGAAAATATGAGCATTTTCTCCAATTTCGCTATTTAAAAAAAAAAAAAGTGAAATTCACTTTGAATTTCCTGACAATTTACACTAGTGAATAACTATGTTAAGGTTTAACAAAGAGATTCCATGTTTTTTAATTCAATGCAGAGTCTCTGGGGCCATAGATTTATTCTTCGTGGTGGGTTATTTAGTTATATCTACTCCATGACTTCCCAAAAGTGAAAACATGTTTCCCCATTTTTCCGATGAAATCTCTACTTTTCCGCTAGTCTGTTTTTGGCTGAATACACCTATTCCATGGTGAGGACCTTACATTTTTTCCAAGATCCACATTTCCTACTCCTAGAAGGAAGGAATAACTTTCTTGCCATTTCTTTTAGTCATTTCTAGGTACAATTATTAATATCTGTATCTTCAGTAACAGTTAAGCAATATTGATTTTGGGCCGACTTTTACTAGAAAACTATTATAAAGTAGTGATATTAAAGGAACATTCCAATTACCAAGCAAGCTGTAGTGGATATGTTACTTGAAGTGCCCCGTCACCCGCCCTTCAATGTAAGGAATCATCTGTTTTAAAACAGTTTTACTTCATACCTGGGACCCACTAGAAGCTGGTCTATGCCTCCACTGCTGAAAATAGAAAGCCATACTCTCTCAGCCAATGACACACAAAGCCAGCATAGCTCATAGAACAGGCTAACAGAAGTCATGTAGGTGGGGATTGGTGTCTGGCAGGCCCCTGGTAATAAGTGAAACCATTTTAAAACAGTTTGATTTATTACAATGGGGAGGATGTACCAGGATACTCTAGGCACCATAATCAATACAGTGAGCTGTAGTGGTTATGGTGCTTTGAGAGTTACTTTAAGGAGAAGAAGGAAAAAAAGCATACATACACGACAGTATGACAGCAGGAAAAAAAAAACATACACAACTATCTTCTGGGGGCATTTAAAAAGATCATAGTCAGGCTTTACATGGAAATTAAATTAAATAAAAGTAAAGTTAGTTTACATTACCTGGAAGTGTTTTGACAAAAAATTGCTTAATGTCACTTTTTCTTTCATTGTGGATCATAATGTACACACTTCCATTATACGTAGTACCAGGATTCAAGCCCGTAATGTTAAATGTATTGTTTGTCTGGATTTTCTGCCACTAGAAGGAGATATTGCATTTCAATTTATTTCAGCATTTATATCAGTGACTTAAATCCCTCCATTCACTTCACTACCTTGGGAGACTAGAGGTCTGGTAGCATCTGCAACCCTTAAAACTTTATAGATAGGCTACTGGTATAGACTTTGAAACTGTTCATATTGTATGAAACCTGTTTTAGTATATGAGACCGTTCGTGTAGTATAACAGCGGTATAGAATGTGAAATTGTTCAAATACTACAACACTGGTTATAGAGTATGAGACTGTTCATACAGTTGACATTAAGTGTAGTATTAATAATGTAGTTGCTTTCGAGAAAACGTAATGTTTAGAAGTTATTGATAAAAATCATGAAAAATATGACTTACTATGACTTGTTCCTTCATACTGCTGAAGCTCATGTAATAGGCAAACAAGCCATTGCTATAGAGTTGTTCAGTGATCATCACTTCAGTATTCATTGGTATGGTAGGAACTTGAACGAAGATTCTTACCGAGCGGACACCTTCAATGATGTTTAGTTCTATATTATCAATGTATGCTACAGGAAAATGAAAGAATGGATGTCTGACTTACGCCTTAATGAAGCATTCCACAGATCATAAACACAACAGCCCTCGTAAAATAAAAATGTTTGCTGATGTGAAGGTAAGGCATTTTAATTAAGCAGGAATGGTAAAATATATCTTTGTGAATACTAGATAGTGCTTTTTACTTACTGTCATCTATTGGGCTCATCCTCTTTGACACTACCCAGTCCAAAGAGCAGTTTGTAGACCATGCTCTAACTTGGCCCAGATATTGTTCCTTGAACATATCCTCATCACTCATGATCTCATCTGTGAGGTTGCAGTAAAGTCTGGTTATATTTTGACATTCTTGTTTTACAATCCATTGTTTAGTTCCATATCTAGAGTACAGAAAGACATCAAACAGCTTATTTGTGGCATTCGTTTAGTCTCAAAACAAATTTATTGTATCACTAAATTATATTGATATAATCTCCAAAAAGTTTACATAGCATACCTTTGCCTCACCCACATGTAAGTATATATATTAAAGGGTAAGGGTTCTAGGTTTATGTCTGTAAATATGGGATAAGTCGACATTATATATACGGCTTCAAGTAAACCTAATGATAATGTACAAAAGAAATTCAAAGGCTTTTATTTTATATTTCATGTATATCCAGGCTTATTTAAAAGTACAAAACAGGGGTCGGAGCCTAGCTTCCAGGCTGAGCAGACGTTCAGAAACCAAGCTCCTGACCACACAGGGCGCCTGAAACACACAAAGCTAAAGCCAAGAGGCCGTTGCGGGAAAACTTGGTGAGCCACGCAACACCTCAAGATGGCCGCCGCATCGCAATAGCAGTGCAGCCCAACAAGCCAGACAGACCAGAGCTGGAGGGAGGTCTTCGAAGCCTGGTTTGACGCTGTCAAGCCTTCTGGGACCACATTGCCCAACGTGAACCCCTGCCTACCCCTCCCAAGATGGGACCTACCTGCCAACCAGCAGCGGACACCTGTCCATCTTCTGGGCCGGGAGCCCAACTGGAGGAATCTCCAGGCCGCAGTCCAACTACCCGCAGGGATGACAGGATGCCGGAAACCCCGGGGATCCACGATCCTGCCTCACGACGGAGGAGGATCCATGGACAGAGGGAACCAGCTCCCTTAACAGCTCGGAACCGAAGGGACAGGGACCTGTCACGCTACACACAGCGCCTGCACCACGAGCAGGGAAACCCACGCTCCCTCACATCGGAGAGGAGAACTGCTAAAGCTGACCGGGAACCAGACTGTTCACGGCAACAGGCAAGGGGCATTGGCTGAGGACGGCTAAGCACACACTCACCAGCCCATCTCCTAAAGCCCATCAACGGCCTGGACTCTGACAACTCTAGGTTGGACACTGTTACCTTGAATAAAGTATAGCATACACACGCTCACCCACACTTTTGATGGAGCGAATAACCTCTCACTGTAGCTTTGGCTTTAGATGTAATATTATTGTTTATGCTGATGCCCAACCAACTTGAGCTTAACGTCTGATTATCACTACTCTACTCTACATAACACTAAGCTGCATACAACATGAATAATCTTATATACTCACCATAAAAATGTGCATGTATCATCACACCCCCCACTGTTATAAGTGTTTTAAAACTAACGCATGAGGATTGCCTTTGGGGTACCCCATGCATGTTGTATTTTCATATGCACAGCAAAAGTAAAAAATTAAAAATAAAAAAAAAAGTACAAAACAGAGCACCTTGGTGAAGAGAAAGTCTGTATTATGTGCAATAGTGACAATCCACCAAAGAGTTTATAAAGCATTAAAGTTTATTAAAATGTTTAGAAACAGAAATATAAAACTGTCCAGTGAATTCAGTAGCCCCTTCTATGGATTAACATGCTAAAGCTATCTACTTGCATGTGCCAATAATGTTTATGGAATTGGGTGCTTCAAAGCGAAATTAAGAGTCTACTGTGCGGCCCTCAAGTAGAAGCTGGGCATGCTGGTAAATTCATGGTTTGGACAGGATTGGAGAGTCTACTATGTCAAACTTGGATAGAATGCAATTTCTTGCCATCAAAGAAACATATAAGACTTTATTTTGTGAAGATCTCATCTTGGGAAGAGATAGGTGAGAAAACTCAATTATAGTTGTTTTTATGTTCAACATCAGGTTTGCTGGCTGTTTTTTATTTTAATTTTTTAAATTGTGTTGGGTAACACGAACATGTATACATGACCTCTGAGTTATTCACTAAAGTGAAAATTGCCAGGAATGTACAGGAAATTCAAATTAAATTTAAAATTATAGATTAAAATTGCCAAACTGGAACATTTCAGGTATACGTTCCAACAAGTCAGGTATACGTTCCAGTCCAGCTACCTTGGCCTTAAATTTGAAATTCAAAAAAGGACCACTATAGTGAATAACCCTGCTGGTGCATTATTCTGATATTTTTAAAATAAATGTTTTTGTGATTAATCTGACAGGGTTTCACATTTGACATGCAGAATAATACTTTTATATTTCCTAAAAAATAATCCAAGGAATGTCTGATGATGATATACAGATATAGATCCCCTGCCTTTAATGGCATGTTGCTTTCTGGATGTTTGTATGCTAAGATTTTTGCACATTTTCAAATTTGTTAATTTAAATATACATAGAACCCTCCCTCCCCCTCTTATTTATTGGTTCATTATACAATCAGTTTATTATAGACAAGGGGTCGTCAACCTGGTCCCTACTGTCTGCTAGTGGGCATTTCAGGATTCCAGAAAAGTAGAATAAATAAAGCAGCGCTGAAATAAGAAGAAAGTAAACAAACATTGGAGAGGAGGAGATTTGGGGAAAAAACTGAGTTTACAAGAGTCAAACTGGATTTTTGAAATGAGAACACTAACTCCGTTAGGGTTAAATATAGATTTTGAGATCAGTTGTATCCTATAGTTCTCCAATATTGAACCATATCTCCCTCTCTGTCTATGTCTGTATGCTTTTATGGATTTTTTCCACGATTCTTTTATCACCTTTTTTATTTATTAATTTATCACTGGAAATAAGAGTTTTATAATGCTGATGATATACTTAGACGTATTTTAAATGCCTTATATAGTATATATATTTACCTATGTTTTTATGTTATTCACATCCCCCCACATATGTATTTTATGGACACTATGGACATGAATGCCTATCACCATAATGGACTACGGAGGTTCAATGCCACTGCCCTAGGACTTCAAAGGGATATTGAACTCGGTGATGTGCGCGCAACCGGAAGTGACGCTGAATGCCAAAAACTGGAAGTACATCACCGGAAGTGACGCGACGCGAGGACGGCCAAAGAAAAGGGAAAGAAGGAGAAGAAGAAAATGAAAAAATGGAAGAGGAAATGTTTGGGAGGGCACTGGGCTATGTCTGAAACAGAATGTGGCGCCTTTTTGGGGATGGCAAACCACATCCTGTCTAGACCATATCCACATCCTGTCCAGACCATTTTTTACATTTTTTTTTTTTGATTGGACATGTTTGGGAGGGCACTGGGCTATGTCTGGAACAGGATTGGGCCCATATTAGGGGTGGCAAACCACATCCTGTCCAGACCATATTTGGAAATGGGAGGGAATTTGTTTTTTCAATTAACACAAGTGATATTATTTTGTAATTAAGTATGTTACATATATAAATGATGGATATTCAGTGAATGAGATACCTGCACCTGAGGAAGACCTTATATAGGTTGAAACTCATTGTGCTTTTATTATTCTTTATACTTTTACTAAAGTCAAATAAATATTTACTTTTAATTTTCACCTTGGACCCTGGAATCTTTGTTACATTAAACCATCGAGTTGCTGAGTTCCTGTGAGTGTGCCTGCTGAATTACTACCTACAAATCTCCTGAAGTGAGATGAAATGCACCATAAGTCCAGAGCCAACTTATAATAGGCTCTAAAAATTGTGAATTTGCCGACTACTCTTAACATAGAAACATAGAATGTGACGGCAGATAAGAACCATTCGGCCCATCTAGTCTGCCCAATTTTCTAAATACTTTCATTAGTCCCTAGTCTTATCTTATTGTTAGGATAGCCTTATGCCTATCCCACGCATGCTTAAACTCCTTCACTGTGTTCACCTCTACCACTTCAGCTGGAAGGCTATTCCATGCATCCACTACCCTCTCAGTAAAGTAATACTTCCTGATATTATTTTTAAACCTTTGTCCCTCTAATTTAAGACTATGTCCTCTTGTTGTGGTAGTTTTTCTTCTTTTAAATATAGTCTCCTCCTTTACTGTGTTGATTCCCTTTATATATTTAAATGTTTCTATCATATCCCCCCTGTCTCGTCTTTCCTCCAAGCTATACATGTTAAGATCCTTTAACCTTTCCTGGTAAGTTTTATCCCGCAATCCATGAACCAGTTTAGTAGCCCTTCTCTGAACCCTCTAAGGTATCAATATCCTTCTGAAGATACGGTCTCCAGTACTGTGTACAATACTCCAAGTGAGGTCTCACCAGTGTTCTGTACAATGGCATGAGCACTTCCCTCTTTCTACTGCTAATACCTCTCCCTATACAACCAAGCATTCTGCTAGCATTTCCTGCTGCTCTATTACATTGTCTGCCTACCTTTAAGTCATCAGAAATAATCACCCCTAAATCCCTTTCCTCATATGTTGAGGTTAGGACTCTATCAAATATTCTGTACTCTGCCCTTGGGTTTTTACGTCCAAGATGCATTATCTTGCACTTATCCACATTAAATGTCAGTTGCCACAATTCTGACCATTTTTCTAGTTTACCTAAACCATTTGCCATTTGACTTATCCCTCCTGGAACATCAACCCTGTTACATATCTTAGTATCATCAGCAAAAAGACATAACTTACCATCAAGACCTTCTGCAATATCACTAATAAAAATATTAAAGAGAATGGGTCGAAGTACAGATCCCTGAGGTACCCCACTGATGACAAGTCCAAGCTTCGAATATATTCCTTTAATACAACCCTCTGTTGCCTCCTATTCATAATATTTGTTTAAATACAGGTCACACTATGTGTATTTGTTTTATTTAATATAGGCAAAAAGACTCTTTTAAGAAAGAACCTGTATTATATATCTTTTAAGGTAAACATATTTATTTATGTGCACTAGTCAGTTTATTCTGTACAATCGCGTGTTTCAGGATTCCAGGTGGGCAGTAGTGGGTTCTACGGCACAAGCAGAATCCCCCCTCCCATCCAGAGAGATGAATGCTCTATCCATCTCTTGCGCACTCAGTGGTTAGCAGAAAGTGCGGGTGTGCACATGCAAGCGCACAAACGCGTGTGCGCATGTACGAGAGTGTGCGCATGTATGAGCGTGTGCACATATACGAACGCGCGTGTGCACGAACGAGTGTAACACGCGTGTAGAGGAAGGGGAGGAGTTGGAAGAAGGGGGATACACTATAGCAGGGAACGGAGTACATGTAAAAAAAGGAGAAAGAAGGAGCTGAGTCCTTTTAGAAAAGGAGAAAGAAGGAGCAGAGTACTTGTATAAAAGGAGAAATAAGGAGCAGAGTACTTGTTGAATAGGAGAAAGAAGGAGCAGAGTACTTGTAAAAAAAGAGAAAGAAGTAGCAGAGCACTTGTAGAATAGGAGAAAGAAGGAGCAGGGTACTTGTAAAATAGGAGAAATAAGAAAAATAAAAATAGAGGAAGGAGAAAATTGTTGTTGGCTAATAATAATAAATGGGCTACCTAGCTCAGCCTTTCTGCTGGGCATTGCTATAAGGAAGGCAAAAGAAAAGAATAAAGGAAAAGGAGAAAAAAGGAAGAAAAAATAGAAAAAAGGGGGGGAAAATTGAGGAGGGGAGCTGATGCACAGGTGAGAAAGTAGGGAAGGCAGAAGCATAGTGTGTAGATTGGCTCATGTTTTGGCAAGCTAAGTTTTGTTTACTTATAATATAAAATAAAGAAGGAAAAGAAGTAAAAAAAATATATAGAAAACTGGTTGTTGGTAAGGAACTTTTTCCATCAAGAAAGATGCATTAGTAGGCGGTAGGTAAAAAGAGGTTGACTACCCAGGTTATAGACAGTATTTACACTATCATGATTATTCGAGTCTGAATTTGCTAAAGATAAACAAACTGTTTAAATAACTGATTTTCAATTTGTGATTTTCAGGAGTACGAACAGAAAATGTAGTTGAAATGTGGTTATTTCTATGATATAATATACATGTTAACAGCTTAAAGGACCACTATAGTGCAGGGAAAACAAACTCATTTTCCTGACACTATAGGGTAATTAGGTTCCCCCCACTCTCAGGGCCCCCCTTCCGCTGGGCTGAAGGGGTTAAAACCCCTTCAGCCACTTACCTTTTTCCAGCGTCGGGCTCCCTTGGCACTGGTGACCTCTCCTACCCCCGCGCGCAGCATTCAAACCGCCCATAGGAAAGCATTACTTAATGCTTTCCTATGTACGTCCAGTGTCTTCTCAGTGTGATTTTCACAGTGAGAATCATGGAAGCGCCTCTAGCGGCTGTCAGTGAGACAGCCACTAGAGGCTGGATTAACCTTCAGTGTTTACACTGGAGGGTTAATCCAGCCTCTAGTGGCCGCTTCCACGATTCTCACTGTGAAAATCACAGTGAGAAGATGCTGACGTCCATAGAATAGGAGAAAGAAGGAGCAGGGTACTTGTAAAATAGGAGAAATAAGAAAAATAAAAAATAGAGGAAGGAGAAAATTGTTGTTGGCTAATAATAATAAGTGGGCTACTTAAGGGGGCTTTCCTAAGGGGGGGAGTTTTTAATGCGCGTTTTAACCCCTTCAGCCCAGCGGGAAGGGGGCCATGAGGGTGTGGGGGACCTAAGGACTACATAGTCCCAAGAAAACAAGTTTGTTTTCAGGGCACTACGTTAGTTCTTTAAGTTTTGTACAACCATAATTGGGTTCTGGATTTCAGCCGTTCGATTGCATCGTACAGGCAGAAATCTGGTCTAGATTCCCTGGAATTGAGAGGCTGGACATAAATCATGTGCACAATGTCCATATTTTGCAGTCTGAATGATCCAGATCTAGTTATGCTGATCAGCAACGGAGATCTTTAGACTTTGTTTCATTTTCATATACAGTTTAATTTACCAAACATACCTTTTATATTCAATGCTGAAAGTCACATTTGGTTCCAGTCCTTTGTTCTCCCATTGGAGAATATACACAAAGTTTTTGGCAATGAAGTTCACATTTTGGATAGAAAAATGCCCACAACCACTACAGACATGTTCTGAAAAGCATAACAAAGAAAATACAGTTAAGAGTGTTGCATTTATGTTGGGGCAATTTGAATGAATTAAAACATCTTAATCACATATTGTGAGTTGTGTTCATGGGAGCTATTGAAAAAGAGTGACACTGTAATTCTGACCTATTCATAAGAGTGCATCACCTTTGTAATCTGTGCCATTTTATATTTTGTAAATAAGATTACAGATTATTAGCACTCAAGTTACTGTGGACTGCAACTGCCATCATTCTCTGCCAATTCATCATTACTATCTACATTATGCCTCCCACACAGTGGCATAGCTGGGGGTGGGGAGGGCGGTCGACCCTGGGTGGTACTTTTTGGGGGCATGCTGAGGCAGGCCATTGGGTGGCCCACGCACTTTAATAGCGTGACTGGGCCCCCTTTGATGATGTCAGCCCTGTGTACCATTGTGTCTGTGTGCATCTGTGTGTATATGTGTGTGTATCAATCTGTCTGTGGGTGTATCAGTGTGTCTGTGTGCATCTGTGTGTCTATAAGTGTATATCATTGTGTATGTGTGTACCATTGTGCCTGTGTGTATAATTGTGACTGTGTGCATCTGTGTTTCTATTTGTGTATATCATTGTGTCTGTGCATCTGTTTGTGTATATCATTGTGGCTGTGTGCATCTGTGTTTCTATTTGTGCATATCATTGTGTCTGTGTGTATCTGTGTGTATATTTGTGTATATCATTATGTCTGTGTGCATCTGTGTGTCTATTTGTGTATATTATTGTGTCTGTGTGCATCTGTGTGTCTGTTTGTGTGTATCTGTGTCTGTGTGCTTCTTTGTGACTATTTGTGCGTATCTGTGTCTGAACCCATATATTTGTGTCTGTGGGTGTTTCAGGGTGTCTGTGGGTGTATCAGTGCATCTGTATCATTGTGTCTGTGTGTACCATTGTGTCTGTGTGCATATGTAAGTCTATTTGTGTATAACATTGTGTCTGTGTGCACCTGTGTGTATCAGTGTATCCATTTTTGTGTATCGGTTTGTCTGTGGGTGTATTAGTGTGTTTGTGGGTATATCAGCCTGTCTGTGGGTGTATCAGCGTGTCTGTGGGTGTATTAGTGTTTCTCTATCATTGTGTCTGTGTGTATCATTGTGTCTGTGTGCATATGTGTGTCTATTTGTGTATGTCATCGTGTCTGTGTACATCTGTGTGCTTATTTGTGTATATCATTATGTCTGTGTGCATCTGTGTGTCTCTTTGTATGTATCAGTATGTCTACTTGTGTCTATCAGTATGTCTTTTTGTGTGTATCAGTGTGTCTTTGGGTATATCAGTGTTTCTGTGTGTACCATTGTGTCTGTGTGCATCATTGTGACTGTGTGCATCTGTGTGTATATTTGTGTGTATCGGTGTGTCTGTGGGTGTATCAATGTGTCTATTTATGCTTGCAGCACTTGCCGCTCATTAGGTCCCCTCCATCGTCTGATGGAGGAGGAGCAGCCCGAGTCAGCACTGAGGGACATCAGCACTGGAATTATTTAAGTGAAAAAAGGATGAGAGAGGGGCAGGCAGAGTGTTCCTGAAGTGTAAGGAATACAGCTTTGTATTCCTAACACTATAGTTTTCCTTTAAGGTTGGAGGGAACCATTCATCCATTCCTATTGTACTTGCATAGGGTTTAGCATACCTGCACTCATGACTCTGTGGACTATAACTTTCACTATCCTCAGACATACAGTCTGGCTGATATGTACATCTCGTATCCATGAGTGTTAGGCGGTGGAGCTCTGTATGCTACAGAAGTCCAAGTGCACAGAGTAACAAAGAAAGGTACACTGCTGTATCTTGTATTTTAAGGACACACAAAATTATTACTGGAATAATAAATGTAGATTCATATCTTTGTATACTGTATGTTTTATTCGATAAAAACACAACATACTATATTCAAGTGGACTAAAGCCACTTTTAATTTTAAGTTGGGCATTAACTACTTTTAACCATAAATATTATTATTCAAATCACAGGAACTAACTTACCACATCCACTGCAGCGATTAACCAGACACACCAATTAAACCATACTCAAACCAAGATAAATGCTTTTTTTAAAAGAACGTATCGTACAGGTTTACTTAATGAATTTGCTTGGCTCCTCCAATCTTCCTCCCAATATCAGCACTCTTGTTAAATTGAAGGATTATTTATGACCATGCTAAAGAAGTCTTCACAAACATATTGATAAAAGGGATACTCCAAGCACCAGAACCACTACAGCTTATTGTAGTGGTTGTGGTACAAATAGCCTGTCCCTGCAGGTTGACAATTATAAACACTGTCTTTTCTGAGAAAGGACAGTATTCCCATTTGTCCCCAAAGCCACCACTAACAGCTGTCATTCAGACAGCTACTAAATGGACTTTATGATGCATTCATGCAATCACACATTCCCCTTAGACATGCATTGAGTCAATGTATCTATATGTTGAGATGCTTAATGGTGCGGTACGGCAATTGTCATGCATGCACACTAGCCTAAACTATATAGGATTGAGCATAACTTTACTGTATTCTCTGTTTGGAGGAGAGTATAACTCCTTTTATTATTTTATTATCGTTTTAACTATACAGAGAGCACTATCTTTTGTTTTTATTTTCATTTTATATAGGGCCAGATTAAGAGCCCATTGGGCCTGGTGCTGACAATCTTATAGAATCTTATAAACCAAAAACACTAAAACGGTCATACCTCCTGTCAGAAACAAACCCTACTCCATAAATGTGCGTGACATTTGAAGAAGCCCAGAAAAGCAAAATGCATTTGTGGATATTTTATATTGTGTATTTTAGCCTATTAAATATTTTTTGGTCACTCTGACTGTGCCAATCATCTTTTTATATACCTTATATTGATTTCATTTTTACCTGGCATTTGTAACCTCCTGGACTTCAAGAAATCCTAGGCGGGGACCACCAACGCTATCATCAAGGAGCAGTTACCCTGTTCCTCTCTTGTGAGAACCATTTTATATATTTTAATACTATTGTTTTATCCAGTGAGCACTATCAGTGTCTCCTTTTACCCTTCTCTTGAGTGTTGAACATACCCCTGACGGAAGAAGCTCACTACATATCTCATAAGCGGGGATTGTACTGCTGTATGCCCTTCACACTAGAGCTAGCTATAGCTCTGATATATGTGCGTTTATTACCTTCTTTTCAACATCTTTTATATATTAGACTGTACATATTACACTATTTGGTTCTCTATATGCTTTGTCTTTTCATATGAGTGCATTTGACTGGACAAGGACAGTAAGGACTTTTTATACATTATCTCATCTGAGGTAAGATCATTCCAGTTAAGACTCGTTTATTTGGACTATTTTCTCATCCTGTTCTAGAACTGCTGAACGCTGCTGGAGAAAGTCTCACTTTGCATCTGACTCCACTATAAATTTATGCTGTACTCCTACAGCCTGGCTCTCTCCGCTGCAAAATTAAATTACTTTAATACCCTCATAAGTACACTGTCCCATCAACCCAAACACCTATTTCACACTTTTGATGCTCTTCTTCGCCCTTTTAATCCCCCTCCTTCTACCACCTTGTCCGCCACAAACTTTGCATCTCACTTCACTGAGAAGATCTCTACAATCAGAGAAGAGATGGCTAATTTATCTCCTTCCCCTACCATTACATCACCCAACCCCACTCTCTCCACCACACTACACACATTCACACCTGCTATAGCAGAAGAGGTTTCTGCTCAGCTCTGGTCCTCCCGCCCCAACACCTGTATCCTCGATCCTATTCCTTGACCCCAACTCCCCATCCAACTACCGCCCTATTTTGCTACTGCCATTTGTCTCCAAGATCCTCGAGAGTTGTGTACACCAGACTGACTGACTTTCTCGAAACCAACTCTCTGCTTGACCCCCTTCAGTCTGGATTCCATGCTGGTCATTCTGTCAAAACAGCTGTGACCAAAGTATCCAACGATTTAATTGCTACTAAATCTCACGGCCATTACTCTATCCTGATTCTCCTTGATCTTACTGCTGCCTTTGACACCGTTGATTATCAACATCTTCACATTCTCCGTAATTTTGGTCTACGGGATACTGCTCTCTCCTGGTGCTCCTCCTACCTCTCCCAGCGCTCTTTCAGTATTTCTTTCTCTGACTCTGCCTCTTCCCCCCAACCACTCTCTGTCGGCGTCCACAAAGGTTCTGTCCTTGGTCTCCTACTGTTCTCTATCTACACTGCCTCCCTTGGTAAACTCAGCTCCTTTGGCTTCCGTTATCATTTCTATGTGGATAACACGCAAATCTACCTGTCCTCTCCTGATCTCTCTCCACCCATCTTGACTCGTGTCTCTGACTGCCTCTCTTCGAATTCCACATGGATGGCTGCTCACTTCCTTAAACTCAACCTGTCCAAAACAGAACTTCTGGTCTTTCCTCCCTCAAGCGTTACTACTCCCGTGTCGGTCTCCCGTCAAGTCAACAGAGCTACCATCACTCGCAGGCTCGCTGCCTGGGTGTTCTTTTTGACTCCAACCTCTCCATTACCCCTCATGTCCAATCAATCGTCAAATCCTGTCACTTCCATCTCAAAAACATAGCGTGCATCCGCCCCTATTTAACCCCGGATGCGGCTAAGGTGCTGGTCCATGCTCTTGTTTTCTCTATCGCCTGTACTACTGCAATACTCTTCTCAGGCTCATTTTCCTGTCCGCCCGCACCTCTCACGCTTCCCGGCTCTGTCAGTCCCTGCATTGGCTTCCAGTTAGATATAGGGCTCAATTTAAATTCTGGTGCTTGCTTACAAGTCCTTACATAATGCTGCTCCAACCTATCTATCCTCCCTAATACACAAGTATGTCCTGTTGAGGCCCGTACGCTCTGCCAAAAACCTACGTATATCCTCTGTCCATACTCCCACCTCTAACGCTCACCTCCAAGACTGCATCTCCTCTATGGAACCCCCTTCTCCGTAAGAATTTCACCCAGTCTCCACTCATTCAAAAGATCTTTGAAAATGCACTTCTTCAAGAAAGAATATGAATTAAACTAATAGCAGGTTTTTATCCCCCACCCTCCATGACTCCTCTCCTGCAACTTTCAGAAAATTACCTACTAAGCCCTCAATTAATACTTTTCTAACAACCTACTTTGTACCCCTACTTTTAACCTTTGTGTCACTATACCCTCTAGAATGTAAGCGCATGGAGCAGGACCCTCCACCGCTCTGTTCCTGTACGTCCAGTTGTCTGGTTACAATTACATGTCTGTTAGTCCACCCATTGAACAGTGCTACGGAATCTGATGGCGCTATATAAATAATAAAATAATAATAATAATCCTGATTATCCAATGTTATAAGGCCTCTTTCGTAGCCCTTACTTCTCTTTTTATCAAGGAAAGGTGGTGGCTCACTCAAAATGAGATTTTGGCCCCCAGCAAGTACAATAGACATTTACACGTCATTGGATATATACTCTCTGGATTCATATTATGTTTTCAAGCCTCTCTCAGAGGTGGAGATAAGGCGTACCTATAGAAACAATAAGTGACCACCCCCAGGCATTCTAGACCAACATCAATCCTCAAATAAACATTTGGTTTTATCTCCTCTTCTGTGCTTGCCACAGAAACATTAATTGCATCTATGAATTTGTTACCATTTTTCAATTCCAGATATATGTCACACTTCTTACTTGTGACTTAATATGTCGGACTTTGTAATTCCTTCAAAATAACTTATCTGGCAACTCCCATATTTACATTCTGAGCGAAGGACTTGTTTTCCTTGTTCTGAATATGCAAAAAAATGAGGCACGATTATTAATCTGAGAGTTATTTTTCATGTTTCTTTTGGGTATGACACAGAACCAAGGGTCCTTTGATATGCTAATTAACATATCAAGGAAATCAATTAAGAGTTACAGGCCATATGGTCAAAGTCAGTTACTTTACATTGAAACTAGACATACAGGCTTCTCAAGTGTAACATTTCACACGTTGCAGAGCCTTTGATTAATCAAAAGAGAACTTCATGTTGTAAACCATCTGACCTCTATCGCATTCCAATGTAATTTGCCCTTTCTGACATCTGTCCTCTACCAAGTGGCCAATTCATGTATGCACTACGCAAGTTACATTAAGTAGCAATATTCTATAGTGCAACAATGAATGCCGTGACAGTTCCCAAGCGTCATGTATCTGATGGAGATGGTGCTGAAGGGAAACTCATATGATGCAGCTATAAGAAAAACGCATACCCTATGCTAATTTATCTCTAATTTATGCTTTAATCTTTCAAGTAAATCCATACCTCCTAACAGCAGTGGCCAGTGAAGCATGAAGTCAATGGGTGGGGTAAAAGAGTGTGCTACTGATTCAAATCCCATAACCAGAACTGCTGAAAGGGGCGAACATGCCCAAAAAGGGGGAATGTCTGCCCAAAGAATTTGAAGGGCATACTATGCAGACAGCACCTTGAGCTTGGCATAAATGTATCTGATGATGCGCTCCCTCCACGCTTTCTAAGGACTGTCCACTAGAACTCACATGTCCACTTTTTTTCTTATCTTACAAGCAGGCTGAAGCTACTGGAATATAGTCTGGGACAGAGAACAGGTATATGTAGTGAGTGTAGAAGAAAGGGAACATGCCACAGTGTTCGAGACAAAAAAGTCAGCATTACCTTAACTCATTTCATTGTCAGCCAGTCCACACAAGTTTTGTTCCCATACATCTCTCTTAAGTTTTCATACTTAAGCAAGAGTATGTGAAGAGTAGTTAGGTTTGCCACCTTTCTTGGAAACAAATACTGGTTTTACTAATTTGCATAATGAATTATGTATGCATGACATCACATGATGTAAATTACAAGGAGTGACAGAAGAGAAAATTCTGTAAAATCATCAAAAAACTGGGTAACATGGGGACACAGACACTAGGGACACTGGCTGGGAGACATGGGGACACTGGAAGACTTGAGGACACTGTGTCCCTAGTGTCTTAGTTTCCCCATGTCTCACAGTGTCCCAGTGTCTCTGTGTCTCCCAGTGTCCTCAAGTATCTCAGTGTCCCCATGTCTCCCAGTGTCCCCTAGTGTCTCCATGTCTCCCTGCAGCCTTTTCCCCCCATTCCCTCACTTACCTGAATTGTAGGCTGTCACTGCAGACTGGGAGCTGCTGTCTGGACTCTTTGTGCTGTGTAGCTGCTCCCCTGCAGATCAGTAAGTAGAGAGAGGCAGGGATATGCTGTAACTTCCTATCCCTGCCTCTCTTCACACGGCGCCAGTATTGCAGAGTAATTTCCGTTTATACTTAAAAAATTACCGGCATTTGTATTGCCGATATTACTGCAATACTCAAATATTGGCTATGCCGGTAAATTACCAGCTAGGTGGCAAGAAAAAAAATGATATACTTTTTTTAAATCAATGAACCTATTCCATGGGCATGGGCCTGGAGCTGCAGCTACATCAGCCCCTGTGTTAATCCAGACCTGATTTTATACGCTGATGAACTGTCACTGTGATAAATGGCATATTGAAAGCAACCACTTCTGTGAAGCGGACCACCACACGCTGCTGACCGAGACCAAGATTAATATATCCACAGACAGGGATTGTACTGTCCAATCACATATATCTGGAACTGATTTCGAACTCCAGAAGCTTGTGAGTGCATTTCCTTTTTTTTTTATTAATAATCACCAACATACACCATATTCCGTTTTATATGTCCTCTTGTTTTACATAAAGCTCCATCTCTTTTTGAGTTGAGGACACTTGTGAAGGTGCTGCTTCCCTGCCTTCCCTTTCTTGAAATAGACAAAATCGCTGAAATATTTTCAATTCGGCTGTTTTGGCTCAAAATATGTAATACCCTTATCAATTCTCAACAAATCCCAGTTCAATAAAAACAGTTGTTAGTAGAATAACTGGAAATAGCAGCACCTGGAAAGTTATGTCTTAAAATTAAGTTAAAATTGACTCACATTTAACAAGAACATTAAAGACTGTGCTCAACCAGTTTATCTGCATTCCAACTGCTCTTTCTGCAGTGTCTCAGGGCTTTACCCAATAAATACCGTGTTGTAGTGAATCGAAAACCAAATTGCAAAATTTAAGTAGCTGATTTGGAAATTATTATTTAAGTGAGCTCTAGTCACAATTTGATGCAAAACCCCTGGTGTTTATTAATATCAATTTAAATTCCGCTATACCAGCAGGGCCGGCGCGTCCATAAGGCGGCACAGGCGGCCGCCTTAGGGCGCACCGGCTCTGGGGGCGCAAAATTCCAGTGACCGGCAGGAGCGAAGTGCTCCCTCCTGCCAGGTCACCTCCTGGATCCCCGGCGCGGCGTGCGGCTTATTTGGATGCCGAGGGAGCTCTGATCTCTCTGATGTGCTCCCTCGCAGGCTGTTTACTGATGACGTCATATTCCCGCTCCCGCGGCAGCAGTAAGCAGCCTGCGAGGGAGCAGATCAGAGAGATCAGAGCTCCCTCGCCACCTCGGCATCCAATTCAGCCGCACGCCTCCCAGCAGCCCCACTGGACCACCAATGAGAGACCCACGCCAGCTCTCCAGGTAGGGAGGCTGGGTGGGAAATGTTAATTTAGATTATTAATTACTGTGTGTGTGTGTACATGTGAGTATGTGAGTATGTGTGTGTCAGTGTGTGTGTGAGTATGTGTGTCTGTCAGTGTGTGTGTGCATGTGAGTATGTGTGTCTGTCAGTCAGTGTGTGTGTGCATGTGAGTATGTGTGTCTGTCAGTGTGTGTGTGCATGTGAGTATGTGTGTCTGTCAGTGTGTGTGTGCATGTGAGTATGTGTGTCTGTGAGTTTGTGTGTGTGTGTGTGTGTGGTTCTGTCAGTGTGTGTGAGTATGTGTGTCTGTCAGTGTGTGTGAGTATGTGTGTCTGTCAGTATGTGCATGTGAGTACGTGTGTCTGTCAGTATGTGCATGTGAGTTTGTGTGTGTGTGTGTCAGTGTGTTTTTTTCAATGAGTCTGTCAGTGTGCGTGTGAGTGTCTGTCAATGAATGAGTGTGTCAGATAAGTGAGTCTGGCTGTCAGAGATGTCTGTGTATTTGTCACTGAGTGTGTGTGACTGTCAGTGTTTATACACCCCTGACTGTAGCGTGGCCAAGCGGAGTGTATCGTGGTACAGGAACTTCGCTCCGCTCAGCCACGCTACAAGAAAGGTAGGAGGCACACCAGGAAGGGGAGGGGACCACTATGGGGGTGGGTGGCGCACCAAGGGACAGTGTCTGTGAGAGATACCCTAAGGAGAGATACCCTAAGGTACAGGAAAAGGAGGGAGGGGGAGAGGAACACTAAGCGACAGGGAACAGAGGGGGGAGGGGAGAGGAACACTAAGGGACAGGGAAAGGAGGGGGGAAGGGAAAGGAACACTGAGGAACAGGAAAAGGAGGAGAGAGGGGAGAGGTACAGTAAGGGTCAGAGAAGGGAGGGGACCATTAAGGGACAGGGAGAGGGACTGGATGTGAAAGAAACACACACCGGGGTTTGAGAAGGAAAGAGACACAAAGGGGCTGGGAGAAAAGGAGTCACACAAAGGGGCTGGGAGGAGTAAGACACAAAATGTGGGAGGATGTAAGAGTCATACAAAGAGGAGAGATAGGAGACACACAAAGGCAAAGGGAGTCAGATATTTAAAAGACGGGATAAGAAACACAAAAGGGAGGTTAAGAGGCACATGGGTGAAGATGTTTTTGGGGGGGCGGAAAAATGCATCTTCGCCTATGTACCCAAAATTCTTTGCACCAGCCCTGTATACCAGTGGTTCCAGGGGTACAAACCATTTCCCACAGGGGTACACACAAAATAAATCCATAAAGGCGGCCCACAGGCTGAAGGGGCTCTTCGGGTAGCCCATTTGCTTTTACTGCCACCCAATGGATATGTGCTGTTACGGTTGCCTCCAGGCTGGCTGGAAGTTGGACCATACAAAGGATGCTCCTAGCGCTCCCAAAGGACCATCAGCACCGTAGACACCATAACTACTACGTAGACACCATAAGTACTGCAGACTCCACTAACCGCCGCTGCTGGGCTAGGATCTCGCCGTCGGCTATCCACCCTGGACCTACGACCAGGCTCCAGGTTCCAGTAGGTGATCCTCTTCCTTCTGTAGAGCGAAGCAGGATCAAGAACAAGAGCTCTTACAAGAGCTCAGTGGCTAAGGGAGTATGAAGAGCATAGCAATCCCTGTAGTGATTATAGCTGTCCCCTACAAACATGAATCAAGGCTGCAAGTTAGAGGGTCAAGTCATTCTCATTTATTTGGCACCAAAGGGCCTTCTTTTATGCAGGTTTTCCTTACATAGGACCACCCACAGGGTTTTACAGAACAACCAATAACACACGTACATTACAGAAAACTCTCCCAGCAATTACACACAAAATCCTCCCCTCTGCCTGTGATCTAATTATGGTTAACATAATTATCACAGGCAGGAAAAATACAGTTTTTATACATGTACTATAACTTAAAAACCTTACATCCAATCTTCAAAATTACATATTCAGAATCAGCATACTTTAAACATAAACACTCAAAAATCATACAAATCCCTTCAGTAGATCAAAAGTTAGACAGAAGTCCTTTATGACCGACCGCAAGCACATTTTCCTGTCCAAAACAGTTCCATAGATTTGGGCTGTGCAGTCGGTCTATTTCACACTGAAAAATGACTAAGTCCCATTCGAATGCACGAACGAGGCTATTCATGCATTTGGCTTAGTATAGCAGTGAGTTCAAACTGCCGAACGGGACTTAGTCTCTGAAGCTGAAAACGGAGTGTAGGAGAGGGAAAGGGTCAGTGGTGTTCGTGAAAATGTGTAGCCGATTTCAGTTCCATGGATTTGGCTACACATACTGCTGACCTCGTTTGAATGAACAAAGATGGCCGCCGCCATGTGTTGGTTTGCACAAACTGCGGCCACCCAGCGGTCGCCAATTTACCTACAGCAGGCTCCCAGCCTGGGAGGTAAATTGAAGATTATGCTAGCTTTAGTGTACCTATAATCTTAATTTTAGTAATGACAGGAGGCGAGTATTTTGCATTAAACTCTCTTTACTAACTCACACAGCAGTAAAGAAAAGTGAAAAACATTAACCAATCAAAATGCAATAGGAAGCATAGTATTCACAGAGATAAGGCTCCTCCCCCTCTTTCTAATGCGACATCATGAATACAGGTCCAAAGAGTCCAGAGTTCCATAACAGGCGCCAACGGGCGATTATCCAAAAATGAAGGTTGAGCAGGCGAAGTCGTAGTTGAGTCCGTCCTGAAAATGAGCTGTAAGGCTACGGAATTACACTGAAAGAGAACGTGAAATAGGTTAGGAACCGGTCTGGAGACTGGTTGAATTAAAGGTAACAGCCCATGATTAGATACAGGGATAATATATAACTGAAAATAATGATAACAGAATACCAAGTAAGAAAACGATCAAGGTTATCTCCAATAAAGTGTAGAACAAGCAAACACAAACAGAGACTGAAGCATACAGAGTCAGACATACTTACGTGAGCCTTATCTCCCAAGGGAGGGATGGGCGGGAAAATACTCGCCTCCTGTCATTACTAAAATTAAGATTATAGGTACACTAAAGCTAGCATAATCTTCAATTTTACTACATGACAGGAGGCTTCATATTTTGCATTTTTTAACGCTGGTGAAGGAGAGATGAGGCTGCTCCCGAGTTCGGGCGGAAGTAAAATGTCCGAAAGGTAGATTCTCGCGACCAATCCGCCGAGCGTAGGATATCTGTCAGAGAAGCACCCGCCGAGAAGGCCGAAGAAGCCGCCGCTCCACGGACGGAGTGGGCTCCGAAAGTCTCGTCCACTCCTGCCAATGATAGAATCCATCTTATCCATCAGTCTAGTGACTGAGACTGGCACGTGTGGCCTAACATAAGATACTAACAGTTGACCCGAGGGGACGACCCTGAGAGGGGATGTGACCTCCACATACCGACGTAGGGTAGCCACCACGCAGAGCTGTGGGTCAGACGGGAAAAACGGATAAAAGACCGACGTAGAGTCCGACTTCGTCCGACGTGAAACCGAAAGGTAACTCCCTCTGGAGAGACCGAAAAGGCGTCGAAGTCGAAAGCGCGGACGTCCGAGACCCGGCGGAACGAGACAAGGCAGAGTAGCAGTGTTAGCTTTGCCGAGAGTTGTCGTAGGGATAGTCTGCCGTTGTCCGGCCAATCCCTTAGGAATTGTAGGACGACTTCGACGTCCCATAAGCGGGAGTATTTGGGTTGAGGGGGTCTCTGCAACCGAACGCCCCTCAGGAGTCTGCAGACCATGGGGTCTTTGCCTACAGGGATTCCCATGACCGGGTCGTGCGCCGCCGAAATCGCGGAGCGGACAACGTTGAGAGAGCGATAAGAACGGCCCGTGGAAAAAAGAAAGGAAAGAAAATTCAAAATGGCCGTCACAGGGGCAGTAAAGGGATCGATGTTCCGTTCACTGCACCAAGAGGACCAGGAGGACCAAGCTGATAGGTAACATCGCCTGGTACCTGGAGCCCATGAGTCCCATATGAGATCTCTAGCTGCCTGCGATAACTCGCTGGTTTGCCAGGCACCCCTGAAAGAGTCCAAGCCACTAGGGCGAGACGGTCTTCCAGAACGAGAGGATGGGGGTTGTCTTTCGGGTCCGTGAGGAGTGTTGGGTAGGATGGTATGAGGAGCGGATCCATGAAGGACGATGCCAGGAGGTCCGGGAACCAGGGTTGGCTCTGCCATAGGGGAGCGATGAGGAGAAGAGACCCTCGTTGGGTCTTCAGGTACTGAATCGTCCTCGCTATCATGGCGAAAGGGGGAAAGGCGTAAGCTCCTCTGGGCGGCCATGGTTGGAGGAATGCGTCCACTGCCATGCTCTCCGGGTCCGGGAGCCAGCTGAAGTAGTTGGTCGTCTGCCTGTTGGTGCGTGATGCAAACAGATCCAGGTGAAAGGGACCCCTCCTGCACGACAGACACTGGAATATCTGCGGGTCCAGTCTCCAGTCGCTGCTGTCTCGCCAGTGGCGTGAGAACCAATCTGCCGTCAGGTTCGTTTCTCCCGGGAGATACTCTGCAATGAGGGAGATGTTGCGTGGTAGACAGAAGTCGAAGATCCCTTTCGTTATTTCCGAGAGGAGTCGGGATCGTGCACCTCCCAGGCGGTTGATGTAGCGGACCGCAGATATGTTGTCCATCCGGAGGAGGATGCAACAGTTCGACTTGTTTCCTGCTAGGCTGCGGATCGCGAACGACCCGGCCAGGAGTTCCAGACAATTTATGTGGAGGTTGAGGTCTTGGGAACTCCAGGCACCGCCTGTCGACCTGCCTTCGCAAGTTGCGCCCCAGCCCCAGAGGCTCGCGTCCGACTCCAGGACTGTGTCGGGTGAGCTCCCGAAAATGGCACGGCCGTTCCATGCCTCCATGCTGTCCAACCACCAGCTGAGTTCTTGTTTGACTTCCTCCGTTATCGGGATGGTCTGATCGTAGGAAGGGTTCCGGCGAAGGAAGGACATCTTCAGGCGTTGCATTGCTCTGTAGTGGAGCGGTCCCGGGAAAATTGCCTGGATGGAAGCGGATAGTAGACCTACAATTCGCGCCAAGGTGCGGAGTGGAATGGAGTGGCAACGGAGGACCCGGCGTAGCTCCTTCTTGATGGCTGTGATTTTTGACATTGGCAGTCGCAGGGTGCTGGACGTGGAGTCTATCTCGAAGCCCAAGAATTGTATGGTCTGGGTTGGAGATATTGCCGACTTCTGGTGATTCACAACGAATCCTAGGGACGTCAGGAAACGGATGGTATATTGCGTGTGTAGAGTCAGTCTGGACTTGTCTGAGCAAAACAGTAGCAGGTCGTCCAGGTAGATAATGCAACGAATGCCTTGTGTGCGTAGATGTGCAACTACCGGCTTTAGCAGCTTGGTGAAGCACCATGGGGCTGAGCTGAGGCCGAATGGAAGGCATGTGAACTGCCACGGTAGGCCGTTCCAATGAAACCTGAGGAACTGTCGGCATGAGACGTGGACGGGTACTGACAAGTACGCGTCCTTGAGGTGAACCAGTGAACCAGTCCCCGTCTTGAAGGAGGTCTCTTAGAAGGTGGATGCCTTCCATTTTGAAATGTCGGTACATCACGTATGCGTTTAGCTGCCTTAGATTTATGACTGGTCTGAAATCTCCCGTTTTCTTTTTGACCAGGAAGATATTGCTGAAGAAACCCCCTCTGTTTGGAGCGGATTCGATCGCCCCTTTCGTTCGGAGGTCCTGCAGTTCGCCGTCGATGAGTCGGCGGTCCTCCGCTGAGCATCGTGTAGCGTGTGGGGAAAAATTCTGGCGCGGGATGTCCACGAAATCGATGATGTATCCTCACACCGTCTGGTGGATCCAAGCGTCCGCGGAGATGGTGGTCCAGGTCTGAAAATATAGAGCGATACGACCAGCAGTACGTGGGGAAAAGGGGGAATTCAAAAGGCTGCTTACCTGTGGGGAAGCGTGCTCTGCCACGACCACGTGGTCCTCTGCCTCGGTCGGCTCCTCTGGTATAGGAGAAGGGTTGTCTGAAGCCGACTTCTGGGTAGAAGGGCTGAGGTCTGTGGGCACGGGGGCCTGTAGGCCAGAAGCGGCTGGCAGCACGGCCCCTCTGGCGGCCAGCCCGTCCAAAAACACCCCGACTGGGGTAGCCCCTGAAGACTCGCTTCATTGAAGACTGAGCTTTATTCAGGGATGTGAATATGTTAACGTGTTTGTTTAGTTCTTTCAAGAAAGCTTCGCCAAACAACTTGCCCTGTGCCAGCGGTCCTAACTCCTTGGTGCCCAATTCCACCAGCTTACCGTCAATGCGGAGCAATGCTGCTTTACGCCTCTCAGAGGAGAGGGCAACGTTGGTGTTACCAACAAAACAGAAGCACCTGTGTGCCCATTCCCTTATATCATGAGCCCATTCTTTTACCATGCTGGTATCAAACTGGTCAGCTCGTTGAAAGGCGTCATCCGCCAAATACATGATGCGGGCAAGTGGGCCAATGGAGTCCAGCAACTTGTCCTGGACTCCGTGGAATCCTTTTTCCACGCCTCTTCGGGGGTCACGGCCGCCTCGAGACATGAACGTGGTCATGACCTGGTCGAATTCGGGTGTCTGAGCCACATGATCGGGGAGCGAAGGGCGAGGACATTCGGAGCGAAGGCGGTTGCGCACTGTCTTGTCCAGTGGTTTGCGGAGCCACCGGTGCATAAATTTGGAGAGGTGGTCAGGCGGAGTCCAGTCCGCCGAGCGTGGGTGTCGTATGTTACGAGGGTCAAAGAGGCGTTGTCCAGTAGGGTCGAGGATGGCCTCTCCTTCTTCCTGGGCAGATGCGAGGTCATCTGGTAGTTGGATGTCATCCAGGAACGTGCCTCTTAAGAAACCGGTACGGGAACCGGTGTCCGAGCCCACTCGTCATCATGTGAGTCGGAGTCTGCCGCTTTCCACTCGTCCAGTATAGCCAAGGAGTGCGAGGGGTCTTCCCCTTCATCCGAGGAGTAACCGTGTTGAGGGGTGGGGGCAGGTCGGGTTGGCTTATGGCGTTTGGTAGGAGCCTTGCCTTTGCCCGGGACAACGGTCCCCTTTTCGCCCTTCCAGTGGCGTTTAATAGGCCGTGGGTCGGCTTGTGTCTGCGATTCAGAAGCCTCAGAATCGTAGTCATGGGGTGTGGCTTTAGAGGAAGACATGGTTAGATCGGCTGATGCCGTCATGACCCTGGAAAGTGCTTTCTCCATAGATGCGGAGATGGCCTCAGAGATCATGGCCTGAAAATCTGCAGGGTTTTGGGAAGATTCCATAGTATTTTAGGAGTAGGACCGTATAGGTAGTCTTGAGGCACAGGGTAGGGCTAGGGGTCAGGCTGTGGTGTTGCACACAGGAAATATGGTATCAGTGGTACCAATAGAACCCCAGCAGGGTATAAGTATATAATTTAGCTCTGTAGGCACCCCAGCAGGGTGGACCTGTACAGGTCAGGTATGTGGTATAGGAATACCAGCTTCCCCAGCAGGGTAGATTGGGATTTTTTACTGGGCTACACCCAGGTATGTGTATGTATGAGGATGGCACAAAATCCACCTATTACCATGCTTAAAATGACAATATACACATATAGGTGGCACAAAATCCACCTGAAAGCAGCAATACTTAAAGGGCCTCACCCAGTTATATATAGGTATAGGAAAGGTGGCACAAAATCCACCTAATATTAGTGGACTGATAGTGGTCCACAATGTATGGGACTGGCAGTCCTTATGGGAGGTTAGATGGGCGATGTACTAACCTGCTGACCCCTGCCTGAATAGTGTGTGGCAAACGCGGTCGGGAGCCGAAAAAACGGAGACCGTGGGTCTCCCAAGATGGCGGCCGTAACTCTCGCGAGACGCGAGATCCAATATGGCCGCCGGAGGGACGGGAAAGAGGTTTCCCGCCGTGTCGGCTAGTGAGAGCGGCTGAGAAGCCGCGCGGCGGACAAATAGAGAGGAGGGTGAGCGTTACCCTCGAGGAGGAATCAACGATCCGATCTCCCAAGCAGGGAGATCGGAACGCGGAAAAACAAATCAATAACACAGAACAAAAGGGGGAAACATAAAATAAATAATAACAAAGACAAGAAAGCAATAAATAAGGGAATTAAAACAGAAGGTACCAATCTAAGTCCCTGATGGTAGGGGGGAAATCCTGAGAGGGACAGTATAAGGCAGAAGGACAGAAGTCCTAGAAAACAAATAGGGAAATAATAATATATAAAGCATCAAAGATAAACAAACAGTATGAACAATGAAAAGTAAGGGAAGAGCCAAAAACTCTGACCTGTCTGCTGATGGAGCAGTAAAGAAAGAGGGGGAGGAGCCTTATCTCTGTGAATACTATGCTTACTATTGCATTTTGATTGGTTAATGTTTTTCACTTTTCTTTACTGCTGTGTGAGTTAGTAAAGAGAGTTTAATGCAAAATATGAAGCCTCCTGTCATGTGGTAAAATTGCCTGCACACTTCCACTTCTGGGTGGTCCGCCTGTGTGGTACTTGGTTCAGTAAGCCTGGAACAAGTTATTTTACCGGTCTGGGGACATAGTCTTAAAGGGGCATTGTTCACCAAAGTCACCATATGTCCCCAGACGGTTCTTAAAGGGCCATACACACCCAATAAAAGTCCAGAAGTTTTCAGGGGCACAATCTCCCAGGGGCCATAGTCATGAGGAAGGAGGCTGGCAAATAGGCTTCTCTACAACCCAGGGAAGCAGGGCAATTTGTCATTTAAAGGGCCAGTTACAAATGGCAGTTTGTAACATGTGCCATGAAGGGCCTGGTCTTGCGCCATGGCATTTTAACAGTGCGATGGGGCCCCTTTAATGATTGCAGCAATGGGAGAAAGTGAGACCCTTGTACTTCCTCCCAGCTGACACAAACACCACGTGGGAGCGAGAGAAGAAGGCAGAAATTATGGGGTGGGCCTACAGTGTAAGACACTAATTTCCAACAGCCCAATCAAACAGAAACCATCCTCCTGAACTCAAAAGGAGGGTGGCTAAAATTTTGACCTCTATGTGCGTTTTTGTGTGTCTGTATGTATGGATGTAGTGTTTGTATCTGTATGTGTGTCAGTGTGTGTGCATATGAGAAGTTTGTACAAACAAGTCATTAACTTTCAATTATGACAAACATACCCTAGTGTCACTTAATATGGAATAAAAATTCACCTGTGGACTTTGCTATTGGCATAGCAGTAAACACTACAAATGTGGAATTCAAGAGTCCATAAGTACAATTTATGTAGCCACCCAATCCCAAGTAACAAGCACCATCAAACAAATACCATCCTAGTTTTCGCAAGTTTATTTCCTAATTCAACTGCTTGCAAATATTTTGAAAAACAAAATATTTTTTTTATTATGTATTGCTTGAAAGACGTTTTGTGTTATTAAGTATATGACGCAATGCCATTCACCCTTATTTATCTCAAATAACATAAAAGAAAGAAGGAATACCTGCACAGGTCCTGCAGGTGTGAATTTGCCTAGATTTCATAGCACTTAGGATGGCCAGGTTCTCCTTTGATATCATTTATAAAAGACTAAAAGGACAAGAGGATGAAAACATGGAAGAGGGTGGGAAAAATAGCAAAATACATTAAGTAAAAGACAGATTGCAGTTACAAAAAAAAAAAAAAAAATGATGGGATTGCAGACTCCTTGCCAGTGATGTATATCCAAAAATCACTAATGGTAAGCGTTGGCATATCGGCCTGGAGTGGACATACATCACTAGTTTAGGATGACTGCCAGCACATGAAGAATGCTGCCACAGAGTATGCAAATATCTTATGGGATATGATTGATTGCCTATTACTGACTTGATATTGCCTTTTATGTGCTGCTAATCAGGATGAACACGAGAGGTGTCCAGGAAGACATGATAGTAAAAAATTTATTCCCCATCTGTGCCCCCAACAAGGAAAAACCCAGCCAAAGTTACATTAATCAGTAAAAAGTATAAATGAAAATGCAAACAAATAGAAACTAATATATACATGGTTATATGAATGTCTCATATACAGGGTTATATGAATGTCAGATTTAAGGTAAAAATAGCCAAACTATAAACATTTTCAGCTATGCTACTCTAGCCTTAAATTTGAATTTCACTTTGAATTCTCACTTCAGTGAATAACCCCATTATTATGAAAATATAAGGTACAGATTCACAGGAGTGATTTTTAGTAGGGATGAAAAAAATGCAGGCTTTAGCTTGTGTATGTTCAGATATGCTAATTAAAATGTATCGCGTTTACTTACCGGAAATAAAATAGAAGAACAGAAAGAGTAACACAGTCTTCATCAACTGCATCTAATCTTCACATGTGCAGGCTGGATCCTTTCTCGAATAAAAAAACGCATTGTTTGACATCGTGTGTATTGAACAAATAGTAGAAAAATGCTATCTGCATACAATAAAATCCTTGTTTACACGATGAAGGTTCTTTCTGAATTGTGTTAGGAGGAGTGTTCAATAGACAGGTGGTTAAACGTCTTCCTCAGGTGGGAGTTTCCCAACTGAAGGTTGTTTGACAACTCAAAGTCAATTTCATAACAATAAGGTATGTGTATATCATTGCACTGGCTTCTGTGAACCTGATTTTTAGCAAAGTACAATATATGTATAACTGTATGCTCAGTGACTGAATGTGAAGAAAGCAGAGCTTTTGCAAAATTCCATACTATTTCACCTCCTCCTCCCGGCAGATAGTTGGCAGGTTTTTGTGCCTGTGGGCTGGTGTTAGTTTGCCTTACTGTGTTTTTTCTTTGCCTTGCATCTCTTTTACATAAGCATACACTGATCAGCCACAACATTAAAACCATCTGGCTAATATCGTGTAGGTCCCCTTCATGCTGCTAAAACAGCTGTGATGCATAGAGTCATGGACATGTTTTGTGGTATCTGGCACCAAAGCAGAGCTTTTCAAGCAGGCTTTCCCAAACTCCGGCCCTCCAGATGTTGCTGAACTACAACGCCCATGATTCTATGAATGAAATAGATAGGTTTAGCATCATGGGAATTGTAGTTCAGCAACATCTGGAGGGACAGAGTTTGGGGAAGCCTGCTTTAAAGGAACATGATTCCTGACACTATAATATTTTCAGTTTGTGTCTGTATTTTTCTTTTGAGATTGATAATACACTGCAATACCAGCACTGTGTGTGGAGAGAGGCAGGGATAGGAAGCTACATCTTATCCCTGCTACTCTTTCCTGACTGAAACCGCAGGAGAGCAGCACAAAGTGCAGCCAGCAACTCCCAGACTGCAAAGACAGCCTACAGATCAGGTAAGTGAGAGATTGGGGGGGAGGGGGCAGCCTACAGATTAGGTAAGTGAGGCATGGGGGGGCAGCCTACAGATCAGGTATGTGAGGAGACAGCCTACAGATCAGGTAAGTGATGGATGGGGGGGAGGGGGCAGCCTACAGATCAGGTAGGTGAGGCATGCGGGGCAGCCTACAGATCAGGTAAGGGAGGCACAGGGGGGCAGCCTACAGATTAGGTAAGTGAGGGATGGGGCAGCCTACAGATTACAGATCAAAGTGAGGGATGGAGGAGACATGGGGGCAGCCTACAGATCAGGGTGAAGCATGGGCAGCAGATCAGGTAAGTGAGGATGGGGGCAGCCTACAGATCAGCCTACAGATCAGGGAAGTGAGGCATGGGGGCAGCCTACAGATCAGGTAAGTGAGGGATGGGGTAGCCTACAGATCAGGAAGTGAGGGATGGGGGCTCAGGTAAGTCAGGGGGCAGCCTACAGATCAGGCATGTGAGGGATAGGGTCAATCATACAGATTAGGTAAGTGAGGTGGGGGGGCAGCCTACAGATCAGGTACACGAGGCATGTGAGGCAGCCTACAGGTCATATAAGTGAGGGATGGGGGCAGCCTACAGATCAGGCAAGTGAGGGATAGGGGGCAGCATACAGGAAGGGTCAGCAAGGAGCAAGAAGGTAAACCAGGAGAAGGAGCAGAAAAGAGAAGGAACAGAAATGAGAAGGAACGGACAGAAGGAGCAGAAAGGGTCAGCAATGAGCTGGAAGGGACAGAAGGAGCAGAAAGGTAAAGTAGGAGAAGGAGCAGGAAGGTAAAGTAGGAGAAGGAGCAGGAAGGAGAAGGAACAGAAGTGAGCAGGAAGGGTCATCAAGGAGCAGAAAGGGGCAGCAAGGAGCTGGAAGGGGCAGAAGGAGCACAAAGGTAAGGTAGGAGAAGGAGCAGAATGGGTCTGCAAGGAGCAGAAAGGGATCAGAAAGAAAAAGGAGCAGAGGGGTGCAAAAGAAGCAGAAAGTAGCAGAAAGGTAAAGGAGCAAAAGAAGCCAAGGAGGAGAGAAGACAGTGTCAGGAGAATAAGAAGACTGTGTCAAATGATGAAGAAGAAAAGGAAATTTGAGCAAGAATGACAAGTGAAGTGATCCCTCCACTTTATTATCGGCACCACATCATAAGGCTTTGGAACCTGAGCCTGGCAGTGAAAATTTGGACCTTCTCATCTTCCCAGGTAAAAATAAATCTCAGTGTTAATGTGTCTTTTATTTACTGAGTGTCAGGAAGCACAGAGTGCCGTTGGGTAAGGGTGTCGCTGATTGGCTAAAGCAGTCAGCTGGCACTCTAAGCCAACAGTAGCTTCCCATTCATAAAAAAGTAAAATATTTTTATGAACCGGGAACTAGCGATTGGCTTAGAGCATCAGCTGACTCTAGCCAATCAGTGGTATACATGCCTGACGTCAATCTGCACTCTGCTTCAGAAGCCGAATACCACTGACCAACCTGAAGATCTGGAGCTGATGGAAGTCGTTGGGGTTAAATCATTTGAGAGAGGTTTAACCCCTCATGGGAAAGAGAGCACCCATGTGCCTCCTGGCATCATTGCATTTTCATTTAGATGAAGTTGTTATGGTGACCAGAATGTTCCTTTAATTTGATTAAAGGAACACTATAGTGTCAGGAATATATACATGTATTCCTGACACCATAGTTGTGAAAACGCTATTTACCCTGGATTTATGTGATAATGACTATGCCCCTCCCCTTCATAACTGTAAAAAATGGGGCAAACATGGAAAAATTCCTGTGGACTCCCATGCCATGATTCCTGACACTATAGTATTAAACTAACTATTTAGATCCCCTCTGTCTGCACAGAGAAAAGATCATTTTACTCAGCTTTTTTTCCACGCCTTGTAATGGAACTTCCTGTTCCCCAGTTGGGTACCTCCGCCAATGGATGCTCCTAGTGCTCACCAAACACCATCAGCACTGCACCGGACACCATAACCACTGCAGACCCCCATGAACTGCCGCAGCTTGGTTGGGGTCTCGCCGTCTCCTACCCACCCTGGACCTACGACAAGCTCCAGGTTCCAGTGGGTGAACCTCTCTTCCTTCAGAGAGTGAAGCAGGAACAGCTCTTAGAAGAGCTAGTAATTATTCAAGGGAGTATGATGAGCATAGCAATCTCTTGTAGCAGTTTCCCCCCATTAAGAGACAGAACTCAGTATTGATAATGAAGTAGAACAGAAAGTTTAATGGCACACACTGGTCTTTTCTACAAGTATTACAGCATAGGTGCCGCCCATGTGGACCTAGTTGGGCACCGAGATACAAAACATGTAAGTAGAGTTGAGCGAACCCGGACTGTAAAGTTCGGGTTTGTACCGAACATTACGGTTTTTGTTCCTCGGACCCGAACACGGACATATCACTGTATGTTTGGGTTGGAGTTCGGGGTTCGGCTATTTAATGGCGCGTTTTTAAAGGCTGCAGGGCAGCCAATCAACAAGCGTTTGACTCATGTGCCCTTAGAAGCCATCACAGCCATGCCTACTAATGGCATGGCTGTGATTGGCCAGTGCAGTATGTGACCCAGCCTCTTATTAGCTCGGGAATTACCAGTTATCCAAGTAATACATGTAGAGATCAAAGGATCCATAATAGAGTTGAGCGAACCCGAACTGCAAAGTTCGGGTTCGTACCAGATTTAATGATCCATTCGTAGTTTCACAGTCAGGTGGGCAGTCTGGTGACCAGGACTAATGGCATGGCTGTGATTGGCCATTGCAGTATGTGACCCAGCCTCTTATTAGCTCGAGAATTACCAGTTATCCAAGTAATACATGTAGAGATCAAAGGATCCATAATAGAGTTGAGCGAACCCGAACTGCAAAGTTCGGGTTCGTACCAGATTTAACGATCCATTCGTAGTTTCACAGTCAGGTGGGCAGTCTGGTGACCAGGACCCAGACACTGTCTGGACGGCGGTCGGATGACCGGGACCCAGTATGCCTGATGTTGAAGTTAGTAGTCACAGTGTGGAATGGATTAGCAGGGTCTGGTACAGGGTAACCGCACGCCCCCTGGTGTTGAGCACCAGTGTTTATGCGGCCACATACCAGGACCCTGATGCAGCTTCAGTAAAAAGAGTACTGGATACCAGAAGCCATCACCAGATTGATCCGCAACTTGGAACAGGATGTGACATTCACTGTAGCGGCTGTGCGCACTTTTGGCATTCTCACCCTGCTGCTGCTTGCCTGTCTGTGCTGCGGCGTAACTTCGGCCTTTCCACTCACCGCCTCATGACACTGTGCGATCAGCAGCAGGCGATAGTGGAGTTTCAGCTGCAGCACGCACGGGTCAGTGGCTCTGCACCAGAGTTCCCTCCAATTGATCAGAGTTAAAGGATTTCAAGTGGACTCATTACAATTAGAGGGCCTCTAAAGAGTCCTGTATTGTTATTTGTTATCACTACCTTCCCGGGAGTGGGTCATTTGCACACCTGCTGCCTTACTTGCATGTGGTAGCCGTTTCTCAGGGTCTCTGTACAGAATGGAACCCTGATTCCCCGTTACCCGTGGTCACCATGGTAGGTGCAGAAACTGGCATCGAAAGTTGATATGGATGACATGCAAAGTCACCGTCACAGGGATGTGCAATTGGCCAGAGGTTCTCTACAGTCAACAAAGTGCCTGCACAACTATAATGTCAACAGCTACTCTGCGGAACAGAGTTGTCTTTTTTCATATGTCCCAATATTTTGGGGGCTACCCCAATTTAAAAAAAAATAAATATATATATATATATATATATATATATATAAAAAACAGTGTTGGCTACCTCATCCTCCTCTACCACTGCTTCCACCTACACCGCCACGGTCACCGCCTCCTCAACCTATGGGTCACTTTGTATAACCTATGTACACAGTAGCAGAGGTTTGTGAAGGCCTTTTCTCCATGCATCAGGAGTTGAGCTCAGTTTGAACAATGAAAGAGAATACCCTGCACGCCAACCTTCTCTCAAATGAATAATTCTAGTGATCCTCCTGACAGCCATGCTTTAGATTTTGATTTATGTTCTTCCAAAGCTAAAATCAAAGATTCCATCTAGTGCTATTTTATGGCTGTATTTTTAATTTCTAGGTATTTTATGTTATTTTAAGTGATTTGCAGGGCACTTGTCCTACTCTTACCCCCATTTTACTTCCTTTTGCAGCTCTCTAGCCCTTTCCAGGAGTTTTTTAGAGGCATTTTTGTGGCCAAAAGTTCGGCCCCCATTGACTTCACTGGGGTTGGGGTTGGGGTTCGGGGTCAAGTTCGAGCCCAAACCAGTACTTTTTTCAAAGTTCGGCGGAACCCGAACATCCAGGTGTCTGCTCAACTCTACATGTAAGCCAATAAAAACAGTGTAACAAGGAACGACACTCCCACATACATGACACAATCCCTCCCCTCTGCCTGTGATATAATTAAAGTAGCTAATACAATAACCTAATTATCCACAGGCAGGAAAACACACATTTTCCCCAAAATACAGAAAACACCCCAAAACATAACATACATATAGCCCTGATCTGGGTGAACAACATATCCAAAAATCACCCAGATCAAAGCACGGGTTCAGGAAATTCCTGGAAGTCTCTTTTGACCGACCGCACGCACATTTTCATGCCCAAAACAGTTCCAGAGAATTAGGCTGTGCGGCCGGTCTATTTTCAATGTTAACAGTTCACTTCGAATGCACGAATGGGTGCCGTTTGTGCACAAAGTCCTTGTTGAAGTGCCGTTCGAATTGTCGAACAGCGCTCGACTACAGTCGAAGAGTCAAAGTCCAGAGAAGGTAAAGTTTCAGCGGTGTTTGTGCCGTCGCATGTCCCATTTGAGTTACATGAACTCGACGACAAAACACCGCTGACCTCGTTCGACTGAATAAAATGGGTGCCGTCACGTGTACGAATGTCGAATGGTGGCCACTCTGACTACTTCGGCACTTCGGCTGTTTCCGAAGGGCCACTTCAAAAGTGCAAATCCTTTCCAATAGTATTTAAAGGGGCAAAAACAGTGCTTTAAAACCCAATAAGGCACAGGGCCATAATCCCAAAGCAAAAGGCTGGCAATGAGTCCTCTCCAAAAACCAGTGGTGAAGTGGCTTTTGATGTTCTCAGCCAATCCATAGGAAAGTGTTGGGAGGCTATAGTACTTGCACTGCAAAACGCCTTGCTCATCTCCTCAACAAGATGTATTGAATCAATGTATCACTATGGAAATTGTTCAGTGCCTCCATGCAAAGCACCTCTAGTGGCTGTCTGAATGTTACTAGGCAACAATGTAAACTGTGCCTTTTCTCTGAAAAGGCAATGTTTACAGTAATGCCTGCAGGGACATGCTATAGACAACAGAACCACTACATTAAGTTGTAGTGGTTCTGGTGACTGTAGTGTTCCTTTAAGTCCTGCAAGTTGCAAGTAAAGGTGGGGCTTCCATGGATCGGATTTTTTTGTTGTAGCACATCCTACAGATGCTCAATTAGATTGATGCCTGGGGAACTTGTAGGCCAAGGCAATGCCTTGAACTATTTGTCATGTTCCCCAAAGCATTCCTGAACCATTTTTGCAGTGTGGCAGGGTGCATTATCCTTCTGAAAGAGGTCACTACCATTGCCACAAGGGTGTGTATGTGAACTGCAACAATCTCTAGGTAGATGGTACATTTCAAAGTAACATTCATATGAATGCCTGGACACAAGGTTTCCCAACAGAACATTTCCCAAAGCATAACACTCCTTTGCTGGCCTGCCTTCTTCCCATAGTGCTTCCTGCTGCCATCTCTTCCCTGGGTAAACAATGCAAACCTGGCCATCCACCTGATCTAAAAGAAATGTGATTAATCAGTCTTTCTTCCATTGGTCCATGGTCCAGTTTTGATGCTCAAGTCCCCATTGAAGGTGCTTTAGGTGGTGGACAGAGATCATCATAGGAACTTTGACTGGTCTACAGCTTTGTAGTGCCATATGCAGCAAACTGTGATGCATTATGTGTTCTGACACATTTCCATCATGGCTAGCATTAAGTTTTTTATCAATTTGAGCTACAATAGGACCAGACAGTCTAGCCTTCGCTTCCCATGTGAATCAATGAGCTTTGGCCATTCTACCCTGATGCTGGTTCACTGTTTGTCCTTCCTTGCGCCACTTTTGGTAGGTACTAACCACTGCATAACGGGAACACCCCGCAAAACTTACCGTGTTAGAGATGCTCTAACCCAGAGAGTGGTTTTATTGTTGTATATGATCAGTGCATATTGCATGCTATTTCTTCTTAAACACAAAGTCCAACTTTCAGTTACACAGCAAAAACATACAGACCAACTCAAAAAACGCACATTGAAGCATAAAGCCTATTTTACTCACAAAGGAAAATTTTCTGTTACACAAAACGGGGGGAGGGGCACTCTTGGACACTTTCAAAATCTACAGACTTACTCTCAACAACAGCCACAAAGTACAATGTGCATACACAATCTCAGTCACAAATGTAAAAGCTAAAGATGTGTCATACAGAAATTAAGTAAAAACACAGACACAATCTCAGTAACAACAAATAAAAAACCCCACCCATCCTCTGGCATGATGGAAAAAACTAGGAAATATACAAGAATATATGTGCAAAAAAAAAAAAAATTAGGAAAAACAATTATTTTGGATAAAATAAATAATTATTTCTGTAAACTGGTTAATTGGAGTGACACACTAAAGGCATGTATTTGTTTGCGCTTTAGACTGAAAAGCGGCCTTGTGCAATTAACAGTGATTTAGTCCAAACCATAACCTATTCTTTGAAAGAAAGCCAGATCTTCTGCAGAAGCTATGCACATAGTGTACTTTGCCCCTACATAAAATGTTTTTTCTTGCCAACTATGGAGCCTCACCTTAATAGAGAACTTTGCTCACAAATATGTGCCAGTCACTCACAGTTTTGAGAAGGCAGAGATACAGGCATCCAGGTACACTCAAAGGGTCTTGAAGAATTGCTCCAATTTGGAGCCCCCCACCACATTTTTCTTAAACTGTAGAGAACTTATCCATTCAATAATTTTTTTATTAACATTTTTATTGAACAAAATGTTGAAATAATGAATTTCAAGCACAATTGTCAGTATAGCTCAGCAGTATAACTATTGTCAAAATAATACCAAAAGACTGAGACTGTCAAAATAATACCATGTTGCAAAACTATAAAAGTAAAGAAGTTATTAGACATAAATATTAAACTCCTTACTGTTAAAAGAAAATGTAAAACAAACTCACTAATAGACATTTTGCATGGCAAAAAAAATTCATTTTGTCCAAATCGGGGCTTCAGAGATGCGAAGTTCAGTTGTGTGGAGAATTGACACTAAACCACTGATAGGCTTAAATGATAACAAATTGCAATATTTCCCTCCCTCCCCCCTTTTTGGTACCTTGGATGTAAGGCCAAATCATGAAACAAAAAAAACCCCAACTCATTGAATCCTTGTTTTGTTTGTTTCATGATTCATAAATTTAGATGACTCACCGATCGCCCAAATTTCGATGAATTGTGATTCATTTGAAACTGAGTGCACAAGTCTACTTCGTAACCATAACAAAAAACTCCCGAATAATAACAGTGAAAGGTCTGAGTGCAATAGTCCTGTATCTTTAACACTTCAAGGTAAAAAATTGCCATTTTGCAAATAGGACCATCTTTAGAATGAAGGGTTTAACACACATCTAGCTGCTATCATATTGAAAGCCACTAGAATCGCTAAAGCTTGGTCACGTGAATTGCAGCTCACAGAAGAGCAATTTATTCACTAATTTCCTATGAGAAGCATTGAACTTGCTGCGCATGCTCAACAGTTCCCCAATGGATTGGAATATTGCTGGAGAAAGCAATGTTTGATGATGTTGCTAGAGACAGAGAGGCCAGCAGCGATAAAGGAGTCTTGCTACTGAAAAGAGATAAGTAAGAACCTTTGTTTTTAATATTTTTATCTCAAATGTAGGAAAGTGGGCATTAAACAAGATAGGGGCAGGGACACTATATCATTGGGGAAACAGGTTTATATTCATAACACTATAGAGTTCCTTTAAAATTTTATAGTTTAAAAGATAATTAAAATGTTACCTGTACCTGTATAATCTTTTCCTGTAGTATTTTCACTTACATTTTAAGAATAATTTGGTTACCTTCTGGACATTTAGTTAGGAAGTAAAAGTATAGGCAAATGTGACATTAGTTTAGAGCAAAGTCTTACATTTGCTCTTACTGCATTGACAGATCTGAGATGAGGAAGCGTCTAACTCTGGTTTACCCATTGATTTTAAGTAGTACACAAAGTTGTGCTCAAAAGTTTGCATACCATAATTGTGAAATTGTGGCATTGATTTTGAAAATATGACTGATCATGCAAAAAAAAAAAAAAAAAAGTATATTATTGAAGGATAGTGATTATATGAAACCATTTATGATCACATAGTTGTTTGGCTCCTTTTGAATTCATAATGACAGCAGAAAAAGCACAAATGGTCCTGATCAAACCTTTACATACCCTTGAATGTTTGGCCTTGTGACAGACACCCAAAGTGACACACACAGGTTAAAATGGCTATTAAAGGTTAATTTCCCACACCTGTGGCTTTTTAAATTGCAATTAGTGTATGTGTATAAATGGTCATTGAGTTTGTTA